ATAAGAAAACTCCACATACTATAACCGATTCGTCGGGAAAAATGATAATAGACGAACATGAAATTCGAACAACCTGGTGTAATTATATAAGTGAACTGTATAATGATGATAGACCCGAAGAACTGGAGACTTTAGTTGAAGGTGAAGGACCAGAAATACTAAAATCAGAAATACTGCATGCTATAAAGTTAGCAAAGAACAAGAAAGCCGTTGGCCCTGATAACATACCGACAGAGATGTTAAAGCTTATAAATGAGGAGAACATTGAAATACTGGTCAAGCTTTTCAATGATGTTTATTCGACTGGTGATATTCCTGAAGATTGGTTAAAGTCCAAATTCATAACACTACCAAAAAACAACGTCCGAAAAACTGTAGCGATTATAGAATGATAAGCCTTATGAGCCACACTTTGAAAATATTTCTACGCATCATCCACAGTAGAATCAGAGATAAATGTGAAGAAGACCAGGATGAAACACAATTTGGCTTCAGAAATGGACTGGGAACTCGGGACGCCCTCTTTGCACTAAATGTATTACTGCAGAAATGTCGAGATCAAAGGAAAGACGTCTTTGCTGTATTTATTGACTATGAAAAGGCCTTTGATCGAGTACAGCATCACAAATTAATTACAATATTAAAAGATAAAGGAGTTGATAGTCGAGACATACGATTCATAGAAAAGTTATACTGGCGTCAAACAGCGACAGCTTGCATAAACGGAAAATCAACAGAAATATGTAAAATACAAAGAGGTGTCAGACAGGGTTGTATACTATCCCCACTGTTATTTAATTTATATTCAGATAGAATATTTAAAGAAGCGCTGCATAATTTGGAATGGGGCGTGAAAGTTAATGGAATTCTGATAAATACAATCAGATATGCAGACGATACAGTTATTTTAAGTGATGACATGAATGGACTACAATGCCTTTTAAATGCCATTGATACAGTGGGAAGAGAGTTTGGCCTAAACATAAACTGTTCAAAAACAAAACACATGGTGTTTAGCCGTTTAGCACATCAAGATGCACGATTATATGTTGATGGTCATATAATTCAAAGAGTGTCCAGTTTTAATTATCTTGGTTGCTATATTACTGAACAACTAGATCCAGATCAAGAGATAAAATGTAGAATCGAGATAGCCCGCACGACATTTTTAAAAATGAGGTCATTCTTCTGTAATGATAACTTGCAACTTCAACTTCGAAAGCGCATGGTTAAATGCTACATTTGGTCAGTCCTCTTATACGGTGTCGAAGCATGGACATTAAAAATATCCACCATTAATCGTCTGGAGGCCTTTGAAATGTGGCTGCACAGACGTATACTAAAAATTCCATGGACGGCTATGCTGACAAATGTGGCAGTCCTTGAGAGAGCAAATGCTGCTCGCGAGCTGCTTGATAACATCAAATGTAGAAGATGGAATATTATATAATACGTATAAGCAGATACACAGACGCATTGTACGTGAAATTAAATCTTGACTGTCTTTTTCTTTTTACTTTTTTTTAATTACACTAGTACGTTTTTCAAAAGAACAAAACTTCTGCAATGAACTACACCCAAAACCGTCTCTCTTAAATGCATTTCCCGTGACGTGTGATCGTTTGTAATGTAAAATATTAAATTCTGCATTCTTTTATTCATATTTCAAATGCCTCATATTTGTTACCACAACTCAAAATTGAAATTTCATGTTATATATTTTAAAGATTGATCTCTAAAAATGAAAATTTTACTAAAACTGGTCAATGAAAGCCATCAATTTTATTGATCTCACGAGAATCATAAAAAATGGCAAAAATCGCGCCACCTTAATCTATTTTATCACCTTGAAAAAATTAGTTTATTCTCTGCAAAATACAAAAACTGCATATGAAAGTTGCACTCGTTGCCTTTAAAATGCATTTTGATTTTTGTCAATAGGACATTTGAATTAAAAGATATGGAATTTTTACCGTCGAGCTGATACAAATTTTATTGAACATTGATTTCGCGCACGTAACTGACATGTAAAATCGACGGCCGCTTCAACATTGTTTTTAAGAGAACGGTTTATTATACACAGAAAGGCTTATAAACCTTTTCATTTAAAATTATCTCGTCAACTGTTGACAGAAAGAAGTAAATACTGTTTTGAAATCACAATGACATACCCTTAAGTCTTGTCATTTCAAAAAAATGTTAAGTTCCTTCTGTCAACATTTTTTAAGGGAACGTACAATTTCCATCGAGTTTTTGCTCGATGACAATTTCCCAGCTCGAAAAAGGGACCTTACTCCCTGAGAAGTGAAGCGTGCATTTCCATAACGAAGTAAGTGCCAAATTAGAAATTTTTCAGGAGTAAAAAACAGTTTTTAATCGAACATGTTTATTTCTTATAATATAAACTAACTGAAAAAGGATTAGTTTAAAGGTATTATATAATACAAACATACCGCAAAGGAACAATAAACAAAGCTTACTTAAAAAAAATTCAAAAATCTGTCTAAGGTCAAAACGTTGTAAGTGCCATCAGGTTTGCAAGTCAAAACGTTTTAAGTGCCAGATTTTTAACCGTTGTTTCCTACAGTAGAAACTTGCCCTGGTTGACCTAATTTTTCTTTAAAATACTTCTTGGCATCATCGTGAAGATAAGGGAGCATTTTTTCAATATCTGTTCTTTTATTCTCTGGGATACCAAAGTGAGTTCTAGTTTTTTGAAGGTCTATGATTTTAAAGTCTTCTAATGTAACTCCAGATTTGAGTACATTGGTCTCACTCCATCCAGCGAGCTCACTATGTCCTTTAGCCACCATCACCGTACCAAATTTCTCTCTTGTAAGACGAAGCTGCGTAGCTGTTGAAATTCCTAACTTCTTTGTGTTCAGTTTGTCACAGGCAACGGTTTTGAAATCATAAAAGTCCTTAACCACCATGCACGAGAATGGATTTTTCTGGGCCGCACTAGTAATGATGTTAACAACATTCATCAATGTATAAGCTTTACACACTTTTTTACGTTTTTCTATGATTGCGAAATCTCTGTCGCAATTAAGGAAAGTGTGTCCTTTGACAGAAAATTTATGAATAATTTACTCAAAAACGTTATTTGCTAGTATGGTCAAATACATGGCGATCATGAACTGATTTTTATTGTGACCCCCACAATTATCCGACCACAAAATAAGCTTTTTCTTTCCGTGATTGCCAATTTCCTTAGTAAGCTAAGAATATAAACAGGAGCTAATTTCCAAGGCACCTCTTCCCCCAAAGTCCTCAGTCCATAAACACATGAATCCCTTTCCTGTGATGGAATCGTAAATTCCTAAGTTACACACTGCAAGCTGTTGTGAATAGTACATTTCGGAGTGAGTTAATTGGGGAATGTACATTTGCTGCTACATATCGAAGGAAAGAACATAGCAATTACTTGTACATGCATTTTTGGTCTCAGTTGACATTGCTTTTGTAGCAACCTCTGCTCTCCGATGGTGAAGCTCCTGTTCTGTTACAGCAGCTTTATCTCCTGATTTTATTTGAACAGCCAAACTATCACATGTGGAGCATGTATCTACTTTAGGCCTTGCAAAAGATAAGTTAAATTTTGATATAAAAATTTCATTATACCATTGTCTAGTCACTGGTGGTTTGTTAGGCGGCTGATAATCCGCACAATATTTCTCTAAAAATGCACGGTACTTACGTTAAATCCGGTGACAAGAAGAGCTTATCCGGGTTTTCGCCTTACGTAGTGGCTCTCAATTTTTGGAAAACTTTCGATATGCTCTATAATCTTGTTAGTCCAGCCAGTCTTGAAAATATTTTGTCGAGCCCCTCCTCGTTTTTCTGACATATCCATTTTACCATCAAGAATTTTTTCTCCCAAAAGTTGCACTCTTCTTGGAGTTACGGCAAACGTACTACAAAATGTTTTGAGGCAAACCCTTATTTCAGATCCTCCAGGCAAAAGTAAATGGTATGTGAAAGAGTGCTTTATCCTACTTTCACTGGGATGTTCGTACTGACCATGACGTCTCCTTTTGATTAATTGGGGATGAATAAACCTTTGTAGGTAACTTTGCTGCTTACTATAATCAGCCATTTCATAGAAATGATTGTACAACTCAACAAGGTATTCCAGTCTTATGGATCTATATGCTAGTGGACACTTGCATTTTACCTAAAACAATTTTGGATTATTTAGATAGATTTAAACAAAAAAAATATTTTTGTTTAACGTCTATTTAGATAGGTATCTCTTTAAACCATACTACCATCAGCTGGTGGCATTTTCTTTGTAACGGTCTTTTTATTGACTAGAGAAACATATTCTTCGCCATTTGATGAGTTTCTCATTTTCTTGGTTTTATTTTTTTTTTTCCAACTATCAACAACTCTTCTTTTCTTTTTGGACCGTTTTTCTGTAGTTTCATCCATATTCGTTCCAAATACTTATGTTTAAACCCAATCCAACACGTCCAAACAAAAATAATTTAGTAACTGATGCGCCACTCTACATTTAACAGAATTGCACTACGATACTTACAACGTTATGATCTTGCACCGCTACTATCCACTTTTCACGCCGTCGCTAGCCATATCGACATGAAATAAATTTTAGGCGATGGAACATGGCACTTACAACTCATTTAACTTAAAAAAACCAAATGAGGCATATTGACACTTACAACGTTATGGAAATGCACGCTTCAAGTAACAACCAACTGTTGAAAGAAGGAAGTAAAACTTGTTTTGAAATGAAAAGACAATATAATGATATGTGGAGAAGGTTACTTCATTGTAAGTTTTTTATTTATTATTTCTTTGGTCTTGTACTTTTCGTTCATTATTTTTACGTGATAGTGCCTTGCCTTCTTTGTAGTGCATATCGCAAATTTATCATGGAATTTTAATTCGATGACCGTATATTACTTATTGGCTTGGTTCTTGTACATATTATTTATATTCAAATGTGTAATTTACCACTACTTTATAAATTTTAGGTTACCAAAAGTATCGAGAAGAAAATGCAGGAAACTGATCCGTTATTTAAGAAAATGTTTAAAAATGAAAAGTATTTTGGTGGTAGCTATTATGATGGTTTGAAAGTTGGAAAACCAGAAGAGTATGATCTTGATCTATTGTTAGAACTTCCACCAGACGTAAAACCTGCTATAGAAGTTAGTGAAAAACATGGATTTGTTCATGTGGTCTTAAACGATACATCAAAACTAAGTAATACTGGCTCTGGTAAAAAAAATCTGTAAGTCATCTTTTTTTTTAATTAATAGCCAGGGTGTTATAGATCGTTCACTATGTTTTATATCCACTAACCATACTAGTCTAACAATACTAACAATATTTTGTAAGACTGTGAGGCACTAGATCGTAGGTGTTAAACACTTTTTGGACACACGTGACTCAGCAAACATATGGTATCTTTGTACTTAGAATGTTTGAATGTAAATCATGATAAATGGAAGAAACAATAAAGCCAATTGGCTGCAGTACGATCAGTATAACAAACCACTTTAAGAATGGAAAAAGAAGTCTACAAACTAATTTGTTTGAACGAATCTTTAAACGTTTGGTATATATCATATCTCCTTCGTGTACTTCAACATTTAAGGACGTTTTCGATCATTTCGGCCAATTTTACGCTGTCTGCAGCAGATCTAAAGAGTTCTGTTGTTGTTTTTTCACTCCACTGCTTAAATTTTTCAAACAGGACGTGCATCGTCTCCCCGGTCCTATTTTCGTTCCACTTTCCCTTGTATAACCAATCGCATCAACTTATCTTTTTCATTTCTTAATATGTGACCAAAGTATCTCATTTTTCTCTTCTTTATAGTGTTGAGTATTTATTTTTCTTTTTTCATTTTTCTTAATGTTTCCGTGTTTGTTATGTGTTGTGTTGTGTCCATGATATTTTCGACATTCTTCGATAACACCACATCTCAAATCTGGCAAGTCGTCTTTCAGTTTTGTTCGTAACTGTCCAGGATTTAACTACATATAAAAGGATAGTGAATACGCAGCATCTTAAGACTCTAATTCTAATGTCTATTTCCATTGCATACTGCTTTCATCTTATTGAAAGTGCTTCTAGCTATCTAAATGCGTCATTTTATTTCACGGCTGCGGTCCCATTGTTCGTTTAGCTTCCATCCCAAGTAATTGTATCTGGGTACTTTCTCTAAAGCTTTTTCTTTAACGTAGATTGTTTCGTCTTCAATCCTATTCTTACTGACAATCATGATTTTTTTTTTGTGTTCAATGTCATTCCATAACTCTCGCAGTACTGCGTAGTGCGATTAACCAAAATTTGTAGCCTTCTCCAGGCAGTCCATGACTACATTAACCCCTCTTGGTTATTCGTGCTATCGACTAATTCTAATTAAGCCTCAAATTAAATAGTATCCCAAGGTACTTTACTTCACTTACCAGATTTAGATTTATACCATTTTGGACTTCCAGACATCCTACATTTAAAGTTTATTTTGTTACTGCAGTCAAAACTTGTTGCATTATATTTCTGACTATGCCATTAAATTTGCCGTGGGCTAAGATGACCAGCGAAAGACATAATGTTGGCCGTTGCCAAGTCTAACTATTAGCCCATCCATGAACAGATTTCACAAGAGGGGAGATAAAAACTCCCTTCTGCGTACAGCCCCTACACATTTGTGCTGACACTGTATCCCCCACTAACGTTGCATACATCAGACGGCTCCTTATCATGTATTCCATCTATTTGTAGATTGTTTCCTCTATTCCTGTTAGATAAATCGCCTTTTGGATTGCTTCGTAGGGGTTGTTGAATGCTTCCTCTACATCGAGAAATGCACTGAACATCATATCTTGGTTTTCCATAACGTACTCCATCCTATGTACGAGATGATGCAGTGCAATTTCCTTTATTCCATTTACCTGTCCGATTTTGCCAGATTTGGGTACAAAAGCTACCCTTATGAGCTTCCATGCCTTTGGTATGTAACTTAATAATAAGCTAGCCTGTAGTATCATACATAACTTTGTGTATAGGTCATTTACCTTCTATAGAAGTATTTGATAAATATATGACTCAAATTAGTTTATGGTCCATTTAATTTTTGTCATAATTATCACTTCTGGTTTTGTTTTAGATTAAGAAAAGGGCACCCAAAAGTTTTCTTAGGGTATCTTCATTATTTTAAGTATATTCACGTGACTCCTCTTGGAGTGAGGGTATACTGATCTTAGAGTCCTTGGAGAGAACTTTTATGGAGCCTTGACATTTCTGCAATATGTTTTATCTGCTCCCAATGCCTTATCCACGATTTTATTTTTGCCCTTAGTACTTTATTATTTTCAGTCCGAGCTTGGCAATAATCGCCCTCACTCAACTGATCTTTTGGTAAAATTCAATTTTCGTCTGATTTCTGTCATTTGATTTGCAAGGTTGTCATTCCACCAGGGCATTTTCCTATTGGAATTTCTCACTATCTCCTAATAATATTGTCTTCGAACGCTGGCATGACAACATCTTGAAATTGTTCAACAGCCATGTCTAGTTTCAGTGTATTCGGCCTGTCTAAACAATATTCCAGTTCTATTTGATATGCTTTGTAGTCTGTTTTCCGAGTGATAGGATAAGTTTCCTTGATAGGCTCAGTACCTATTATTTCAAAACAGATGTGTCGATGGTCTTCACAAGACACTTCATCTAATACATGTCCTTTTTTAATAGTTCTAGACAAGTGAGTCTTGGCCACTGTTATATCCTAAAGTCTAAATCATATTTTATAACAAACTGTAGTAATTGTTCACCTCTTTTATTGATATTTCTGCCGATCCAGGAAAGGTGGTGTGCATTCTTATTACAGCTGAGGAACAGTTGCAGTTTATTTATCCTGCAATATCTCATTACCTGTTCCCTCTCTGTGATTTTCATCTTTACCGTCCTTTAATTCCTGGAACAGAAATTAAAGTTCGTTTGATTATTATATAAGTTCTCGGGATTTTAGCAGGTCGGCTATATCAGCTCTCTACCAATGTCTGATAGACCTCTTGTTTGGTACTGGTAAATGGAAGGATCTTCTATGATATAAAGTGCAAAACTTTTCTTCTTCTTTATCATCACTTTATTTTCGTTTTCTCCTCGGCATTTTTTTAGAATATCTTCATTCGTGAGATGATTAAATCCCGGGTCAATCACGTCGCAGTGTCACCAATCTGCTAAGTTTCTTGTGCCATTTTCCCCCAGGAACTGAGTTCATTACAATTGTAAGGTTATGCAGTTCATTTCAATATTCTTTAGTTGTTAGTTCTTTACCATTTTCTTCCAAAACGGTTATGTCATATCTTTCTTAAATTTTTGAGCGAGGTAATTTTGTTCTGTAGTTTCCCTTCATAGTCGCAAAGACGATTTGGTTCATAGACTGAACTAACGCAGTAGTGTTTGAGGGTAAAAGTTTTGCAAATATTTTGCCGTCAGCACATGTTGTTATTTGCTGAAGTTATGACCCCCTCTTCTTAACTATCTAATACAATATAAATTTTTCTACTAATGAACTTTGGTGAATATCCACAAATGTGGTAAGAAAAAATGACGGGTCAACTCGTGGTCTTAATAAAGTTGTTGTTTTAATTGTCAAATGTAATTCTTGTTCGGGTTAAACTCAAATATGTCTTAAAATTATTGAATGCTGCGCGGCGTCTTTGTAAAAGAAGTAAAGTAGTAACTGACAATAATATCCCTAATAGCACATGTACGTCCAGTGGACGTCCATAGTACGTCCCTCGCGGACTTTAGGGACGTCCCTCGAACGTCCGCTTTGGTCCTATTTACGTCCGTTTTACGTCCTATATTGGTCCGAATGTCGCTGCGCCAAACGTCCTATGGACGTCCATTTTACGTCCCGAGCGGACGTAAAATGGACGTACCGGGACGTTAATTGGACCTTAATCGGACGTCCATAATACGTCCAGAGAACTTACTTGACGGACTTTTGTGATATTTTCGGACATCTATTTTAGCGCTCAGGATGTAAATTAGACGTCAACGCCATTGCATAAAGTACTAAAAGTGGTGTCATCCTGTGCATATTAAGAATGTATTTTGGGAAATAAAACTTAAATGTTTAAAGAAACTTACATTTATTATTACATTTATTTATATTTATTTATTATTAACAAACGGGACAAATTCACTGTCAAAATTATGCAAAAATGCAACATTATAGAAATATAAAATAATTTTGTGTAATAAAACATAAATGTTTAAAGGAACTAACATTTATTATTACATAATATTTATTTATTATTAACAAATGAAACAAATTCACTGTCAAAATTATACAAAAATGCAACATTATAGAAATATAGACAAAATTACAGTTAAAATAAAATATACATGAATAAAATAAATAAGTACACATTTTATAATGAGTTTCATTTAGCATTTAACTGCTTCAAATAGTACCTAAAGCTATTGATATGAAAGTTTTAGACCATCTCTATGTGTGAAACATAATTAGTTCTGTGGTAAGGAACATGGAAATGTAAATTCTGCCACAGTGAATGGGAAGGAATATGAAAACAAACTAGCTGAAGCAATTCAGTAGATTGGTTATTTTATAAAGTTGAAAAATAAAGATTAAAAGGTAACACTTTTGATAAGAGAATCCAGATTCAAGAAATTGATCATATCAGAATAAGAATATGGTCTACACAATTTACAAGAACAGTTGATGCTTGTAGATGAGTCAGTATAAATCTAACCAACATAAAAATGGTTTTTAATGCAATTATAACATAATCAGTATAAAATTAGTTGAAGTTGAACGACTAGACAGTAAGTAAACCACGCTGACCAGTATGAAGCTGATTCTTCAAATTTACTGTCAAAAAATCAGTCAGTAAAGCCTCGACAATTTTAGGAATAGCAGAAAGAATTATAATGGAACGATAATTAGGAATCAATGAGTTAAGGATAAAATCAATAAATAAATTGTGATGAAAAGTGACCCTCATTCAGAGATTTATAAAAAATAAGCCATAGATGCCTACATAAAAAGAATGCACAATTTCCTAAAAATAAGTTAAGATATTATGTCTGGACCAAGACCTTTATTGGTATTAAGACACTGTAAGCATGCGTCACAAATTTTAACAGTTAAAAGAGTGAATATGGCTGTTACTGATATGGGATCTTTGACTACACTTGTCTACACAAGAGAAAGAAGGATTGTGAATACTGCTAAAGAAATTGACAAAATTGTT